CCACAACTTAAGTACTTGGCGTTAGCAAGACAATTTGCATAAATAAGTTAAAGCGTTTAATTCTGGCCGGAATTAGAAAATAAGAAGTGATAGTAAAGATTTAAAATAAAATAAACGTTAGTAAAACTTACGATCCTTATATACTTCCTGCCAAAAAAGTTAATTAGTTTGAAACTGAGGTCTAAAATGACCTTGTTGAAAATTTTTAGCTCTAGAATGTAACGCGAGGCCAATCTTTTACAAACATTTCTCACTAGAAACTACGTAATCTAGAAATTAAAAAGTCGTTTTTACATGATCAACTCCATGGACAATTACTTTTCATCTGTACTGCATCTATAAACAGGAGTTTCTTAGTTGAATCTGGTTCCTTCCAGAGATCTGTAACCAAAACTAGTTTAATGAAATGTTACACAATCAAATGGCAAGTAACATGAATACTTATATTTCTCTTTTAAAATTCTTATTTCATTCATGCCCTTATTTAATTATCTCCCCGTGCTCTCTGACATGTGTTGTAAAGAGAAACACCAAACACGTGCGTGTCTATGTACAAGTGTTCAACACTACCGCCTGCAATCAAAACACTAACGTGTTAAAATTTAACATAACTAGACCTCATAACACACCTTATATTCATCTCTGAACGCTACTATTTCTCAAAAGTGGCTAACTCTGAAGTATAGCGTCAGAGAGCCTAACTACCTTCATTCAACCTTTAACACATATTCACAATAATTTGCTCTTTTTACAGTCATACGAATAAGTTAAAATTTTGGTATAACTCTAACATTTTCACTTTAAATATAGCACAGTATTTCTTAACTTTTAAGATAACAGTTCACATTGTATATAAGGACATATTAACATGCCGTTAATTTTACGCATTTTAAAACATACATTAGTAGTACAATGTTTATTAACTTCAATTTTTCTTCCAAGCAAGTGCTAATTCTTTTACATTTAGATACTACATTTCAAAAGTCCTCCAGACTAAAACTTCTTTTCTTTACAGAATCTTTTAAATAAAATTTTATACAATAATTTTACAATTTTCTTAAGGTACCTTTCTCAAAGATTACCAATGCTTTTACAATATTCAAATATTTACACATTCCTATTATACAATAATTTTAGTTTTACTCGCGAGTAATTGAAAAACATAATACCAAAATAGGTAACAACTCATTTCTCGCCTTTTTGGCGATAAAGGTAGGCCTCACATGAGGTAAAACTTCTTAAATTCTGCCACTTGCAGTAAATTGAAAATTAACTTAAAGTTTCAAAGTAACATAAAGTTTTACTTACCTTTATTTTCAGACATCTTTTTTTCTGCCCAGTCCTGGAAGGTGGAGATGTCTACCGTCTGGTTTATCTTCCGTCTTGTGCGCGGTCGCCTTTCGGTTCCTTCCTCCGTGTGCTTCCTTTTTCTTCCAGTTCACCCTTGAAGACCTTCTTTTTAGCATCTGCTTGTGGTCTCGGCCGTTTGATGGCAGCTGGTCTTGGCGGAACCGGGCAACTCTCTCTCGTTGTTGCCTGGATCTCGTTGCTGGCTGATCAAACTTTTCTTGCTTCCTTGCATCTGCAGCTGGTTTTCCTTCGTCAATTCGTCGACATTTGCTGCGTAGACTCCTATCCGATGGGTAGATCTTCCGTTTTGGAGCCGTGTTATAGTTGCTGCCATTTCTCCTGGCTCTCTTTGCATTAGTCGAACTTCTGCCTTCTTCATTGTGGGGCTGGTCGTGCCCTCTCTTTTCTGGTCGTGGAACGGCTTCTTTTTCTTGTTACCTTCAGTTTTTCAACGGGAAAACTTTCTTTCCAATTGCACCTGTCTTCTCATGGCTTGCCCTTGTGATTGTCGTTGTTCCACCTCTGGAGATTGTGTCTGCCGTGCCAGATCCTGCAAAAGATCTTGAAATATTGGCATTTTATTACGATTATAAAATGGTTTTATTTGGTCAACGTTTGCGGTGCAGGTTTCACCATTCTTGGCGTTTAGCACCACTACAGCCTGAGTTACTTTTTCTATGACATATGGTTCTTCAAATCGTGGATAGAACTTGGCTGTATTATCTTCTGGTGCTGAAGAAAGTGAATGCTTAATTTTTAACACTTCATCCCCTACTTTATAAGTTACTCCCCACCGTTTCATGTCGTAATACAGCTTTTGTTTTCTTTGTACTACTTCAGTGTTCTTCTTTGCTTCTTTAATTAATTTTTCTATATCGCCCATTTGAAATTCCGAGGTTCTTTGTTGAACATAAAATAATTATCTAACGGCGTTATAATCTTTCTGCCTAAAAATAACTCAGCAGGAGTTTTGCCCGTCGTATCATGTTTTGCGGTCCTAAGGGCAAAAGCTAATTCATTGACATAGTTATCCCAGCTTTTATGAAAATTTTTAACATAACTACGGATAATTTTCACTATATTTCTATTGACCCGTTCCGCTATATTTGATTGCGGCTGATACGGGACCATTTTTAAATGACGTATGCCCAGTTTTTGGCACATGTCTTCAAACATATTGCTTACAAATTGAGGACCATTATCCGATATAACTTTTAGGGGCGCCCCGTATTTTAAAATATATTTATTTAAAATAGAATCAGTAACTAATTTTTCGGAGGCTCGTTTTAAGGGAACAATTTCGGTCCACTTACTAAAATGATCAAAAATAACAAGGAGATACCAACTTTTATTTAACTGACTTTTCGGGAAAGGGCCCAATAAAATGATGCCAATTATTTCATTTGGAAATTCTGATTTAATGATATTTAGAAACCCGGCCGGGCGGAAATTAACATAATTAACTGCTTGACATGTTGGGCAAGACTCTACATACGCCCTTGTTAACTTTTGCAGCTCAGGAAAATAAACTGCTTCGCGTACGCGTTGGATGGTTTTTCGAATACCAGCATGAGAAGCTAAAGGCGCACTATATTTAATCTAAGACTAGCTGGGATAACAGGTCGAAATTCGTTGTTGGAATTCGTAGTTTTTGTATAAAATAATAGACCATCTATTAATTCGTAATGGGCCGCCCTATTTCTTATCGCCACAATATCTTGGTGGCTAAAATTTTCAGGATCGTTTAAATAATCATAAATATTTTTAAATTCCGGATCCTTACCCAGTTCGGTTATTACAGTTTCTCGAGAATGTATCGTACATGCTGTGAGCATTGCCACTTTTACAGTATTACCTTCTTCATCTATTTTTATTCTGGATAAGGAATCTGCTACGATATTTTCCTTTCCGGGGGTGTGGTTGATTACCAAATAATATTCTTGTAACTTGAGTGCCCATCTTATTAACCTTGGGGATAAGTTTTTCCCTGAGTACAATCTAGTTACCGCCGCATGATCAGAATACACTGTTACTGGCGCCCTTCCAAAATAGACTCGGAACTTTTGCACTGCTAACAGAACTGCAAGTGCCTCTCCCTCTCAGTCGCGGAATAATTTCTTTGAGTTTCATTTACGTTCTACTAAAAAATGCCACGGGCTGCTGATTTTGCGAAAGTACTGCTCCTACCGCGTAATCCGAAGCATCCGCTGAAATTTCTAAATTCTCATCCTTTTCAGGAAATTTCAAAACAGGGGCTTGCGTTAATGCTTGCTTTAAATTTTCAAACGCACTATTGGCTTCGGCCGTCCACGAGAATCTTGCCTTTTTCCTTTTTAACCCTTTCATGGGCAGTGGGAAGGTTACTTCCCACCTACATGATCCCGGGAAATACACCTGTGGGAAGCGCAAAATCCGCTATAATATATTGGCTTTGGTATTATAACGTTGGGAACTCTAATTCCTACTTCAGTATAGTGCTGCCATCTGTGTTCAATCGATTGAAAACAGAATTAGCACATTTGTTTTGAAAATTCGAACGCGTTGTGTGAGATCTGTTCCACTGAGACACCTGTTTTGATTTGACATTTGCATTCCTATGCGATTCTGCTACAAATGTAAGTAAACACTGTTTTTATTATAATAACGTTCTCTTATTTTGTATATTTCTGCAGTAACTATATAATATTGAACAATAAATAATGTGTGAAAAGTGAAAATGCTATTGCATCATGTATGAAAGCCACGTGCAATAGGTATGTTGAAAAATTAGAATATTTTTGAAAATACATTTGAAAGTATCATTCAATTCTACTGAGAAAGAAAAGGATTATTTTGGCATGATTTTTACCGAGGAAATTTTACAGAATATTGAATAATATTGAATATATAATTTTACAGAATTGAATATATAATTTTACAGAATATTACAGAATATTGACGAAGCTCATATGCAAAGCAGCCTAAGAAAAGGAAGAGATTGGGTCAATACCACAAAAGACATTATCCTGAACTGGAAAGAAATCACATCAGAAAGAATTGAAAGCATGTGTAGGTATGCATATACTCATGGGTATACATCAATTGCCTGAACTGAAAAAATACTGGAGCACAGACCCTATTCTCAATGTTCAATCAGTAGCAAGAATAATAATCGCAAAGAGGTTCAAAAAATAACTGAGACTTTATATGTAAACGATAACAGCACAAATCCATGTGGGCAACTTGGGCATGATAAATTCCATAAAGTCAGACCAATCCTCTCACAGCTCAATGATTCCATACCTAAAGTCTATGAACCTTCGTCATTGAAGCAGTATATGCCAATGAAGACTATAAAAAGAAGTTACAAGGTGTGGTGTTTAGCAGACTCTAAGACTGGATATATTCAAAAATTTGAAATTTATTGTGGAAAAGAAACTTGTGATAATAAGGATAAAATATTGAGCTTAGGGAAAACACTAATAACTAAACTAACGGAAGATGTGAAGCAGACAGGTCATCTTATAGCCTATGATAACTATTTGACATCTTTTAGGCTTGCAAAAAGTTTACTTATAAGTGGTCTGTTTTCTGTGGGGACTGTGAGGCCGCAAAGGAAGGATCTTCCACCGATTCTGTAGGCTAATAACAAACTACAAAGGGAGAAATCAATGTTCCTAGCTAAGGAAGGTGTTGCTGCAATAAAGTGGATGGACAATAAGGCTGTTACATTGTTGACTACTGCACACAATTCAGCGATTATTACATCTGTAAATCGTACAAAAAAGGATGGTTCTAAAACTGAAGTACCTTGCCCTAAAGCTGTTGCCGTATATAACGATATCATGGGAGGGGTTGATTGCTTCGATCAAAGAAAAGAAAGATACCAAATAGGAAGAAGATCTGTAGAATGGTGGCGTCGTATTTTTTATTTTCTTACTGATCTTGGCATCGTAAATAGTTTTATACTGTGGCAAGTAAACAAGAGAAACAGAAGTTTAGACCAGCTAACATTCCGTATAGCATTAGCTCGTCAACTAACAGACGGATATTCCTCGAAAAAGAGAGGCCGTCCTGCTAGCTTCCAAGCAAAACGGTGTGCAGTTCCGGATGATATACGCATAGCCAATGTGGGAAATCATATGCCAGAGATGGCTTCCAATTATAGACGATGTAGGAAATGTAGCACAAAGACCCAAGAAAAGAGGACCCGCTATATGTGTGCAGTATGTGATGTACCCTTGTGCATTGCAACATGTTTCTCATCTTTTCACGGCAAATAATCGCCTTTACATTGCATTTTCTCTATGACCATAAAAGGTCCCGTGGGAAGTATACTTCCCACCCCTAGAATTTAAATGTAAATAAAAAATTTGGCAAAATAAAATATATTTCCTTAAATGCTATTGTTTACTTGATAATAAAACATAAAAAAGGGAGAAATTCAAAAGAGAAAGAAATGGCCCACGAAAGGGTTAATTTTAACAATGGTTCAGCAATAGCTGCAAAATCTTTTATAAAGGACCTATAATATGAACAATGTCCTAGAAAAGAAGACAGCTTCTTCGCCGTATTTGGCGGCGGATACTTTTGAACAGCGATTATTTTTGATTCGTCCGTCTCGATTCCTTTCTGAGATATTTTGTAACCTAAGTATTTTAATTCAGGGGCTGCAAATTTGCACTTTTCGACATTAACTTTTATACCAGCCTCATTTAATAATGAAAACACCTATCTTAAATCTTTTATATGTTGGTCCAAATTATCACTAGTAATAATGATATCGTCTAAATATATAAATGTGGTCTTTCCTAGAACAGGCCTTAGCACAATGTCCATATATCGCTGAAATGTTGCCGGTGCCCCTGAAAGGCCAAACGGCATACGCAAGAATGCGTAAGTGCCAGACTTGGTTATAAAAGCAGTCTTAGGCACATCTTCCGGTTTCACACCTATTTGAAAATAACCAGTCGTTAGGTCTAACGTAGTCATGTATTTTGTAGAAGTTATATTCCTTAAAATTTCTTCAATAATAGGTAACGGGATATACCGGATATTTAGTCATGGAGATTAGTTTACTATAGTCAATTGCAAAACGCCACCTTTTCGGATGTGTTTACTGGATAATCGTTATTTTTCTTACATAACACAAACCTGGGGTAGCATAACTACTTGAGATGGGCGTTATGATCTTTTTACGTAACATATCTCGAATGTGCCACTCTATAATTTTTTCTTTATTTTTATCGTACCGATACGGCTTGTGGCGAAATGGCAGTGAATCTCCTGTCTCAATTTCATGTTTCGTAACTTGAGTAAATCCGGGAATATCATTAAATAGCGAAGCAAATTCACTTACCACTTGGCGAATTTTTTGTTGCTCTCCCGTAGGCAGGTGGTTGAGATTTAACGTGGGTGGTTCTCTTTTTTCTTCCAGAACTGATTTCATGGTCAGCTTAAGGGACGTTTCGTTAAAATACAGCGTTGCTTCTGCCTCTGAAAGAAAATCTATCCCTAAAATTATATGTGCTTGTAGATTTTTTACAATAAAAAACATGACCATGTTTACCTTGCTTGTCCTTGTTAATGCGAATATAAAGTGGTAGTTTACCTATACATCTGCATCTTTCCCCTTGCGCAGCTAACAGTGTCGTATAATCCGAATTATATATTCTGTATCTACAGAAGCATTTCCTAAAACCTAACACAGGAACACTGCGCGCCTGTATCCAGGAGTGCGGTGGCTGGGATATTGTTCACCAAAACTTCAATCTTTGGAAGAATCAAATTTTTCACAATAACTGTATTTAACTTGAAGGAAGATGGGTTTTCTTGGGCTTCTGATTTCCTCACCCTCCCGTCAGCAGAAATCCGTTTTAGTTTAAATCTTCTTTCTTCCTTTCCATGCCTTCCTTCTTTTTCCGCTGGCCTTCAGACTTTTTTTCAGGCTTACTATTGAACTGTCGACGTTCGCCGGTTGTTTTTGGATACTCAGGTTTCCTTGCCCACTGATTCGACTTGCTACCGTAGCCGTGTTCTTGCCTTTGCTGTGGTCTTGGCGCACCAAATTGGCTTCGCTGCTCATACTGGCGTCTTCTTTCAATGTCCGCCGTTCTTCTACTTTCAAACTGGATTTCTAGCTCAAATAACTTTTCCAGTGTAGTCGGGTTCAATAATTCAATAAAGTCTTGTACTTGGGGAAGTAACCTCGGCAAAATCACTTGAATTATCTCAGGATCCGGACGGCTTCCGTACAAGAGTTTAAAGACGTGAATTTTTCTTAAAATAAAGCTGGAAAGATTTCCGATTCGTTGCTGGTATATGCTGAAGAGTTCCGCTTCTAATTTTGCACGATTTCTTACGACAGGGAAGGCTTTTACTAAGGCAGTCTTGAAATTTTCGTCAGTATAGGTGGGAGTTCCCGCTTGTCCCAAGAGGTTTCTGCCTATACATTTGAACCAATTAAGCGCTTGGCCCCTCAAAGCGCTGTTAGCTAAGGTGATTTTCTGGAACTCATGGACTGGATATAGCATGAAGTGGTCATCCAATTTTTCCAAAAAAATGGTTACCGGTGAGTTTCCATCAAACGTTGCTGCTGGTTTCATCGATGCGCGCATGGTCTGGACGATGTAACCAAATCCTTCCAGGGCGCCAGCTGGCATTTTTGGATTCTGAGCCGCTGCTGCAGGCACCTCGGGTTCTTCTCGAAACTCGGCCATGGTTATTCTTCTTCGGGCGCCACTATCAGTACTTGTGTTTCTTTTGACTTGCTTTGGAAACATGAATGCTCCTGACTCGGAACAGGGAGCTTACTCAAGCTATGTTCAAGAAATTGTGAAGTAGACAATACAAGCTGGACGGGTATACGAAACCCTTGATTTTCTATCTTTACACGTATTCCCGAACTTCGGGATACAGAGACCAACCACTTGTGGTCTGAACGTAAGAATATAAAAATTACTAACTAAAACTCTAACTAAAACTAACTTTGCATTAGTATACAAGTGCCTAGCACTAAGATTGGCCTTTATTTAAAGAAAGGTACGTATGTAGTACGCCGAGCTGCTAAAACTACGATACGTCTGCAATTATCAAGAGGGCTAAACCTCTGGCCTTGAAGGCAACCAACAACAGAGTGAAAACTCGTAAAACTACAGTGGCAAGCGGCTTGCTTCCAATAACTAATTCCTCTCCCTTGCTTGGCAAAACGCCACAACTTAAGTACTTGGCGTTAGCAAGACAATTTGCATAAATAAATTGAAGCGTTTAATTCTGGCCGGAAGTAGAAAATAAGAAGTGATAGTACAGTTTTAAAATAAAATAAACGTTAGTAAAACTTAGGATCCTTACAAACCATAAAAAGGTTTGCTTTAAGACTATTGCTTTGGCTTGGTAAAGGGTGATAAATATTTGGCATATTATAAAATTTTTTATCTTGGTAAGCTATAAAAGTCAACTACAATTTTGATCTATCTGAAAAAGTTTCTGTTCCCTTTTCTTTGGGAATATTCATATGCCATACGATTGTTGTGGATTTATCTTGGTGTCTGCTCAATTTTTGGACTTCTATTTCCGCTCTAGAGCTTAATGCATTTAACTCATTTACACTGAAGTCCCCTTGCAAGAGAAAGAAAGGGAGTGACTTTGATTCACCTTTTGCTTTAATATGTAATGGAAGCGCGCCAACTTTATAGGAACTTTAAAGGACTTCATAGGAACAACTTTATAGGAATTTCCGAAACTTCGGAATACAGAGACCAAACACTTGTGGTCTGAACGTAAGAATATAAAAACTGCTAACTAAAACTCTAACTAAAACTAACTTTGAAGTGCCTAGCACTAAGATTGGCCTTTATTTAAAGAAAGATACGTATGTAGTACGGCGACCTGCTAAAACTACGATACGTCTGCAATTATCAAGAGGACTAAACCTCTGGCCTTGAAGGCCACCAGCAACAGAGCGAAAACTCGTAAAACTACAATGGCAAGCGGCTTGCTTCCAATAACTCCTTCCTCTCTCTTGCTTGGCAAAAAGCCACAACTTAAATACTTGGCGTTACCAAGAAAATTTGCATAAATAAGTTAAAGCGTTTAATTCTGGCCGGAAGTAGAAAATAAAAGTGATAGTAAAGATTTAAAATAAAATAAACGTTAATAAAACTTAGGATCCTTACAATGTTTAGCCTTTCTCATATAAATTATAATAATAAAAAGGTATTATATGAAATTAACCTTTCATCTAAATTTAAATATCGATCTTAGATAGATATTTACTATTTGTTTCAAAATATTCTAAGATTACTTCCAATCACTTGTAAGGATTTTGTTAATTTTATTAACAGTTAAATTTTAAGTTAAAGTTCCTTTCCTGTCAAATTCTTAACTTCAACTTACTACTTCCGGCCAGAACGTAGTTTGGAATTTGCTGAATATTTAATGAGAAGGAGCGGTATTTAAACCACGAAGTTACTTACTGAGACAGAGAGAGAAACAGAGTTTCTGAACTACGCACGTCTGCCTTTTTGGCCGCTCTCTCTCTCAAAGCTATTTTTACGCTCTGCCGTACTCAGGAGCTTGCTAAGCTTCGTAGTAAAATAGGTTAAGGGGCCAACTCTCGTTGAACCTTAATAGCTTTGGCTATACTTATTTATTTAATCTTAGTTTTAGTTTAATTCTTAGTCTTTTAAGTTCAAGTCCAAAGTGCGGACTTTATTTGTACACTCCCAGGCGGAGTTTTGTTAAATCTTATCGAAATAATAAAGGGTTATTTACCCTTCTCTCTTGTTGTTTGCTGTCTTCGAACTCTAGCGATTATTCGCTTATCAGTTCCTAGGTTCCTCACTTCCAACATTAACTTAGAATTTCAAAGTGAGGGACCTTACAATTGGCGCTCGAAAAGAATTCTAAACGGACCATGTCGTTAGAGTCCGGGAAGTTTACGTTGACCCCTTCGACCTTTCAGGTCCTTACAACATCCATGAATCCAGTAGAAGGGTTTGGATTCCTCCTGGAAACGCTGCATGCAGCCATGAAACCAACAGCCACTTTCAATGGCAAGGGCTCAGTCCTGACATTTTTGGAGCAACTAGACCTACATTTCACCTTACACCCTGTGAATCAGGTACAAAAAGTGATCATCGCTACGACAGCCTTAAAAGGTCAAGCCCTTAGCTGGCAGAAGAGTATAGGAAAGTTCTTGTTGGGGGACCCAGGATCTGAATCATATAACTGGGAAAATTTCAAATTTGCATTAATAAAAGCATTTCCGGTTGTTAAAGATCGT